TGGGCAAGAGATAACGCTGTTGTATGTGTGTATGTATGTCAAAACCAGAACATGATGAATGACAGTCAAACCTCAAATAACAAGTAGATTAACACTTTATATATGTATAATATGTACCTATGTATGTATATATGTTAAAACCAAAACATGATGAGTGACACTGAACCGTCAAACATCAAGTAACAAATGGATTAACACTTTGATTTGTCGTTAATTGCACATGTCGGCATTCAGTTGGATATTTTCAAGCACACAGACACGCAGGAACCGCTGCAACAAGCACGAAATGTGGTTAGTTGCGAAAAACAGTTCCCTGCTGTCGCCTGATCTGACGCTGATCATTTTACATATTGCCTTAAGAAATTTAAGGGTGTTGGAGTCCATCGGGCCGAGAACCTCGATACATATTGGCAAGAATTCCATCGTATGTATGTATGTATGTATGTATCATTTCATCTCATTTCATTTTCAAAGTTTATTCATGATCAACAACATATCAAAAAAGTGAATAAAAGTTATGAAGTTGAATATGCGGAAACCGAACAAGATGGTAAGTCTTGTGGTGGCCACCGCAGGTAGATATTAGAATAGTTAATGAAATAAAATAAGTAAAATAACTGAAGAACAAAGATAATTGAAGACAAATATGTAATTTTTCGTGTTGTACATATATGTGTGTATGTATGTATGTATGTGTGTATGTATGTATGTATGTATGTATGTATGTATGTATGTATGTATGTATGTATGCATGCATGTATGTATGTATGTATGTATGTATGTATGTATGTATGTATGTATGTATGTATGTATGTATGTATGCATGCATGCATGCATGTATGTATGTATGTATGTATGTATGTATGTATGTATGTATGTATGTATGCATGCATGTATGTATGTATGTATGTATGTATGTATGTATGTATGTATGTATGTATATATGCATGTATGCATGCATGCATGTATGTATGTATGAGTATATGTTCGTGTTTGTTTGTTTGAATATTAGTATGTTTTTAAGACATATAGGCACTCGGGTAGGTTTTGACGGCATGGAAGTGTC